CAGCCAACCAGCTGGAGGACCCCACAGACCCTGGGCCTGGGACACGCAGCCCCAGGAGGCACTATAGTGGGGACAACCTGGAGCTGGGTCGTGGGCAGGCTCAGGTCCTTTGACCTCTGTGCCCTCCCAGGAGGGCCACTCTCACCCCGTATCCAAGAGTGGGGCCTGGCATCCCGGTGAATGTCCTGGTGGCTGGGCGATGGGGGCACCTTGAGAGAAAGGCCCTGTCACCATGGCCAAACTGCATAGGGCAGCCTGGGTTGAGGACAAATGTGAGAGACCCCCTTGAGATGGGGCACATTCCAGCAGCCTTTGCTCACCTCCCGAGGGCTTACTGTGCACCTGGCAGGGGACCCGGGAAGGTGGACATCTGGTGCCGCCTGGGGGGTGGGGTGCCCCATGTCCTGCATGCAGATACAGGAGTGGGAAGTGGACAGGGTGGGATGCAGGCAAAGGAGCAGGGTGTGTGGGGGCAGGAGCGGGCATGGGGGCCAGGGCCAAGGGCTCTAGCTGTCCTGAGGGGCGGAGAGGGAGGGGCCGCTGGGTGCCGGGCAGTGTCTGGGGGCGGCAGGCTGCCAGGAGGGAGGACCGGGGGAGGCTTATGGCCCCACTCCATCCAGAGTGCAGGCTCCTGTCTGTTCCCTCCAGGTCCACCCTGCAAGGAGCCAGGTGGGGCTCAGCAGTCCCTTGACGAGAGGGCAGGCACACGGGGCCTCTGCCAGCCCCCACTGCCCACAAGAAGTGGAGTGAGACTCAGAGGAGGGAGGGGCACCAGAGGGGGTGCTGGGGCTGATCTGGGGCTGCGGGAGGGGCACAGGCTGGGACTGGTGGGCAGCCCCACCTCTGAGAGCAGTATGCCAGCCCTCCCCCATCCCAAGGCCACACCTAGGTTTGGGGAAGCAGAGCACATCCTTCCTCCCACACTTGCTGGTGGCGCAGATCCTGAGGCCATTCCCAGGCCACCAAAGAGGCCTCCTGTGTTGGGCCCGGCCCACCCCCCCGCCCCATCTCCTCTCTGCCCTCCTCCTCTGCCCCCATAGGAACCAGCCGGCGTGGGAGAAATTGCTCTGGGAACCAGCCGCTGACAGCGATGTGGGGCCCCTGCCAAGTCCCCCTTCCGCTCACCCCCTTGGCCTGCCCCCTCACTGCCCTCTCCGAGGAAACCAGGCGTGGGGAGCAGGCAGGGCTCTTAAAGGGACCATGACACCACTTGGGCAGGAACCCCAGGGAGGGGGCCGGGCCTGGGTCCTGAGTGCCCTCCAGGACAGCTTCCCAGCCTGGGCCCTCTGCGTAGAGCAGCGATGGGAGAGGGTGCACACCGGAACAAGCCCCGGGTGGCCCCGGGCTCCATTCCTCCCAGCCAGACCGAGAAAGCTGGTGTGAGCACGTGGCTCGGATGTAAAGGTGCCTCAGTTGGGGCCAAGCTTCAGGAGGAGAGCCTGACCGCAGGACCGTCACCCCTCTGCCAGCCTGTCCCAGCGTCTGCCCTGCAGGCTTGGCTCCAGACAGCAAAGGTGCCAAGAGCCTACTAGTCAGGGAACACCCCGACCTAGCTGACAGGAGTCTTTCTGATTGATGCGGGTGTGGATCTGAGAGCAGAAGAAGGGTAGGCATGGAAGCCTGAACTTCCTGGAGCTCACAGAGGGGGTCATTTGGCAGGACACACCCCAGATACTGGAGGGCAGGACAAGCACCATGGAGGGGGTCTGGCCTAGGCCCTGCCATGCCAATGTTCCTCTGCTGGGCCTCAGCTGTACCACTTTCAAGTGAGGGCAGAGCTGCTCTCTGAAGATCTTGCCAGCTCTGGCTTTTACATTCTATATAAATCTGGGTTATTTATTTTTTAAAAGGAAACTGCAAAATATTTGCAGTTTTCTATGAGTGAAAGACTCAGGGAACTGTCCTTAGTACCATACAACTTAATTCCAGGAGGTGCACCTGGAATCCATCAGTCCCTGCCACCCACCAGTCCATCCTTTCTGCACCCCTCATCCCCCATCCCCCCATTCATCCTCTGAAGTATTGGGGAACTCTGCAAGGATCCCACTTTCCCTCCCTAACATCTCTGCTCCCCAGGCCCTCCCTGCAACTGGCCAGGCTGGCACATGGGCATGGAGAGGGGGCCCTGAGCCTCACTGTCACGCAGGGCTCAGGAGCGGATGATCTGGTGCCTTTGGGCTGAGAGGGTAGGAACTGGTCACTGTCCTCAGGTTCTTAGGGCAAAGGAGACTCGAGGGGACTGTCAGGGCCCAGTGTTTAGAGTGTGATCAGTTGCCTCGGGCGTACATGTGGAGCCCCTGTGCCCAGGTGTGTACATAACTGGGGTCCAGGCAGCAGAGGGTCTGCACCGTGGGCGGGAGCCTCCGACTCGGCCTCTCTGAGGTAAGTGTGTCACGTGGTTGACTGTCTTGTGGCTACCAGAGGAGGCGGCCTTGCAAGCACATGACACATGCTTAATACATGTGAACACGCACAGGTGATTCCAGATGAGGCTCAGGGTCAGGGTGAGAGTGTGAAGTGGCAGGGTCAGAGTGCGGCCAGGGTCAGGACTCAGAATGTGACCAGGACCAGGGCTCAGTTGGCTTTTGGGGTCTTAGTTCAACCTGTGACCAAAAGTCAGTTGTGGACCCAAGTCACAGATCAAGAGGTCATCATTTCTCAACTGATGGTCACCGATGACTCCTACCCTCCCGCTCTCAGTCCTATCGACACACAGACCCTTTTTCTCTAAGCACACACAGACACAGTCCACGCCAGCACGGACTGGGGCCCTGGGCACTGGTGCAAGCAGACCTGGGGCCTAGAGGTCTGTCACTGGGCCCCATTTCCGGTCACCTGGGAACGCTTGGCTCCTCTGGCCCAGCCATGGAAGGAGAAGCTCCCCAGCACATAGAGGCGAGGGAGTGGGGTGCAGAGCCAGTTCCCCACCGCCGGGGCCCAAGCCACCCAGTTTGAGGTCAGATACCTCAGGGTCCCCTCCTGAGCTTTCAGCTGGGCCCTGTTCTCTCTGAGCCTTGGCTTCCTCAGAGGTGACAGGCACAGCGCAGCCAGGCTCCCAGGTCTGTGTGCAAAATGCCGCCTGGAGCATGCCTCACACATGACCCAGCTGTCGGCACCTTCCTGCCATCCCCAGGCCCTGGGCTCTTAGGCACAGAGGCCTTAACAGTCCCACTCATCCATGCTGGGGTGGCAGGCAGACACCCCACACCTGGTAGAGGGAGGGCAAGTGGAGGCCACAGTCAGCGGGGAGCAGTGGTGACCGGGGTGCAGTCCTCATCCTGCACCCCACTCTGCCCCCATCCCCAAGTAGGCAGACTCCAGCTGCAGGACCTGAAGCTGAGGTTCCTGGAGGGCGAACGTACCCAAGGCCACACAGCCATGCGAGGGCCCGTGGCTCAGTGAACTTGACACACTGGCTGGCCAGACCTCTCCTAGCCTCCTCCTCAGCCGCCCCCAGCCCAGCTCCTGGCCCCAGACCCAGAGCAGGAAGGCTGGTGGTGTCTGCTGAATGACCCTGCTCACCCTGTGCACTCTCACCACAGGGCCTTCGTACCACCTCTTCCTTTGGCCAAAACGCTTGTCCCCAGGAGTACACTGCTGTGTCAGGCCGTTGCTCTAACACTACCTCCCCAGAGCCTTGCATGAACCTGCTCTGAAAGGCACCTCTCCCCACCTGCCTGCCACCCGATCCATCTGGCTCCGTCTCTGGCAGGTGGCCTGACCTGCTGCTTCCACAGGAACCTGCTTTAGTGGCCCCCCTCACAGGGGTTGGCGGGAGGCTGAGGGCCACGGCCTCCCAGAGCAGCGGCCTACTGGAGCCCAGTCATCCCTGGCAGGTGGTGGAGGAGAGGGGAGGGATGGGCGACAGATGAGGGGCTGATCTCCCCAGCAACTTCCATAGTTGGTGACAAAGCCCCCCAAACTGGCCCTACGCCCCTCCAGGCCTCCCCCTGCACCTGTCCTGCCTGCTCTCCCAGGCCAGGCCTCACGCTTTTCCCCCAGCCTCCAATTTTTTCTCTAGCTCTGCTTCTGCCTGCCTCCCGCTCTCTGCCAGGCAGACTCGTCCTCCGGTCGGCCATGCCAGGAGCCTCCCTGGCCTCCCAGGACACGCATTCATCACTGCACTGTCTGGAGCACAAAGGACGTAGGGCATGTGCCCCCAGGCCGGGGCCAGGCTGAGCACACTTGTACCCCCAGGTGGCCAGGGGAAGAGGCGCAGAGAGGCCAGGGCCTGGCAGTGCCAAGACTGAGGAGGCCAGCGGTGACAATGACACCCAGGTGCCTGGCCATACACCAAAGCCCTTGGGGGAAGGGCCCGACCCTCACCAGGCCTACCCGGCCCACCAGCGTCCTGCCACCGAGCTCTCTCCTGCCCAGCTCCCGAAATTTGGGCCCTCTGGCCCTCTGGGTGCAGACCTGGGTGCACACCTTCGGGCCTTGACACACACTCTTCCCAGTGACTAAACGAGCCCGTCACCTCTCGCTCTGCCTTACTCTGTTGGGGAGGACACGCTGATAGGGGTCCCTACATAGGGCCCTGCACCGCACACCACAGCCCAGCCCTGCCAGGTGTGGAGAGGCACCCCATTTGTCCTGGCCACACTGGAGCGCCTGGCACCAGCTGGTGCTGTCAGTGCCAGACAAGGACCTGGGCCCAAGACCCCAGGAGGCCCAGCCCGCTTCCCATTTGATCACTCGGGGTCTCTCACCCCACCCACGCAGCTGCTGCCAACTGCAGGTGGATGGAGCAGGCCAGGGATGTCGTCAGCGGTCACTGACCCAGGGTTGGACCTCCACACCCCCCTCCTCCCCTGGCTGTGGACTGCCGCGTGGGGCGGGAGGCGGGCTGGGGGGCTCCATGCTGCCTCAGAGCCAGAGCTGCGCAGGAAGGGATCTTTGAGGTTCAGATGGATGAGGGGAAAGTGGCCCGATCCCAAAACTTGCAACCTGCCCACGCCCACCCCGAGGGCCCCGAGGCCACAAAGCGCAGGGGAACTTACACGTCAGGCTCATCCCACAGGATGCAGGTCTGGTTGGTAGTGCCCTGGGGGAGAGGGGGGCAAGTTAGGGCCACCTGCCTGCCCTGCGAGAGCACCAGAAGGTCAGTGTGGGGGGCCTCCCACGGGGGCGCTAGGAGTTCTGCCTAAACTGCTTCTCCAAGAGGTGGCGATGGAGACCTGGAGTGGGGAAGGGACTGGCCCAGCCCCCCTGACCCCTGCTATGGGGCTGCAACTAGCTTCTGTCCCCTCCCTGAGCAGGACTGGGCAGCAGGGGCTGAAGCCCATCTGGGGAAGCCCAGGTGGTTGGTCCAGCTTACTGCAAAATGGGGTCCCAGGGAGACCCTGCTCAGAGGGCCCTGTGGGTAAGTGAGCACGGGTCAGGGGGGCACAGGCAGGCCCTCAGCAAACATCCCTGCCCCACAGCCACAGTGTACCAGCACCAGGATGACGGGCACGGAACCGTGGTGGGCAGCAGGCTCTGAGCATGGGCGGGAATTACTGAGTTCCCACCCCAGCCTACAGTTCGCCCTGGATAGGGGAGAAAGCCAAGGCCCAGAGAGGCCGAGCGACTCACCCAAGCCCACAGTGGGAAAAAGCAAGGCTGGTTCTCCCATAGCCCTGCCCTGGGGTTAAGGCCTGGCGCTGCCGTCGTGGCTGGGTAACCAGGGTGGGTGGCTGGCACCTTCAGGCTCCTGGTTCTCAGCTGTCCAAAGGCATCTTGGCCCCAGCAGCTCTGAGCCCCAGCAGAGAACCCCATGAGGGCCGTGAGGCCCAGGGCAGCCTCACACCCTCAGAGAGGATGGCTCTCTCCTGCCCAGGGAGCAGCCAGGCCGAGGGGGGCTGGGTGCGACGGCCAGAGCTCAGGCAGTGGCGTCAGACAAGCGATGAATTAAGGCTCCACATTGCCCTGCTGTGGGACCCTGGGCGAGTCACTGCATCTCGGTGAGCCTCGGTTTCCCCACCTATCATTCAGGAATAAGAGCAGCTCTCCCACAAGGCGGCTGTGAGCCCGAGAAGCTGGGGCATCCCCCCACCCCTCGCCGTGGGACAGATGGGGGGAATCACGCACACGTGCGCAGACGTGCACACAGGGGGAACTCACATTGTACACGTGGGCAAACTCTATCTCCAAGGGTGTGAGCAGGGAGCGAGGTGGGGGCTTCACGGTCACTGAGATGACCTTGGAGTTCAGGACAGTCGTGTTCCTGGGGCAGAGCCAGCAGGTGGAGTCAGGGGGCAGGGGAGCCTACCAGCCCTGTGGCCCCTCCCCAGGGCCCCCCTCATCACTGCCCCACATGGCTGCAGCGGCCACCTCTGCGGGGCCAGGCCCGGCCTCTCCCATGTGCCCCACCCCACCCCCGGCCCCCAGCACCCACCTCTGCAGGGCCAGGAAGCTGCCCAGGTTTCGGTAGAGCACAGTGCCAACCACAAACACAGACGAGTCGTCAGCCTCTGGAAGAGATCACTGCCAGGTCCCCCTCCTCCTGAGCCACCCGGGCTGGCACTGCTCCAGCAAGGGAAGCTCCTGGCCCCGGCTCCTTGGTGGTGCCCACCCCTGCCACGGGGTGACTGCCTAGGTCCCTGAAAACTGGGGACAGGCAGGGCTGGCTCCTCTTACTGGGAACCAGAGTTGCCTGCTGTGTGACCCCAGGGGGGATCCTCTCCCTTCCTGTGATGAGTAGGTTGGTTGACCCTTCAGCAAAGAGTGCATGGGAGACTCCAAACACAGGGAGGGTATGGAGGGCTTCCTGGAGGAGGTGACCTCAGGACCACTAAGAAGAAATGGATACCACCCAAGGCAGCAGCCAGACTCCAGAAGGAACTTCCCAGGGTTGGGCCCTCAGACCTTGGCACCCCTCACCTGCCAGCCCTGTGGAGAAGACACTCTTGGACACAGTGACCCTGTCCTCTGGCACCTTGGCCCAGTCGCCTGTGGCCCTCCAGCCCTTCATGGGGAAGCTGATGTCTGTGGCTCCACTGGCTGGGAGCTTGTGGATGCTGAGGACTGGGGTGGGGAGGGGAGCAGCCAGAGACGACAGAGACAGGGAGACAGAGAAACAGGGAGAGCAGTTAAGAAACAAGAGGTCTCGGCCCTGGGGAGCTGGGGAGCAGGCCTGGGCCTCCAGGACACTATGTGGGGCTGTGCCTGGCTGGAGGGGGCTGAGGCACACCCAGGGTCTGGGCTACTTCCACTAGCATCTCAGTGACACACCCACGCCCAGCAGGAGCCTCCTGCCCATGAGGACCCAGGCCTGGACTGAGTTCCATGGCCCCAGAGGGTAACAAAGGTGGGCTCTGTGGCCTTGAGGGGGGCCACATGGAGTGGTACCCACCTCGGTGCCCCCACTTCCTTTGCTGCTTCTCTGTAAAAGGGAGAGGGAGAGACCCTACCTCACAGGGCTGGGCAGTAAAGGAGACACCAGATGGGCTGGGTGGGAGTGGGGTGGCCCAGGAAGGGAGGTGCTGGGGGTGGGGACAGGCTGAGGGACATGCAGCCTCATGCGGAGACACCAGAGGGGCAGCTGGTGGCGTTGGCCGGCTTTTCTCCCGACCTCTCCCTGAGGGAAGTTGGCCCTGGGGCCTGGCTGGCCTCCGGAAGGCCTTTGGCCCCACCAGGCCCCAGCCAGGGGCAGGCCTGAAGACCCCAGCCTGGGGCTCTGTCCAGCTCTCCAAGCCAGGCATGCCCTGGGGTGAAGCGGCAGACAGGCCTGGGAAGACAGGACCCGGGGGAGGGGGGCCCCGAGCCTCTGAGCCTCCTTCACCCCAGCCCACCCTGGGCTCCCTCCACCTGGCACCCCGAGGCCCGGGCCCAGGTCTGTGTGGAGCTGCCACCTTAAGTGTAGGGGGAAGGGGGCCCTGCCTCTGCCCATCTCTGGGGCCTCCTCTGACAAAACCCTCCAAAGCCCACCAATGCCCACCTCTGCGCCTTGGCTCGCGCGTTGCCCCCCACCACACGCCCTTGCCCCTCCAGGCTCGGCTTCCCGGCAGTGCCCTCCCTGCACCTGTGAGGTCAGCTCTGTGGAGAGGGATGGGCGTCCCCCAAGTGCCCAGCTCACCACACGGATGGACGGAGGGACCTTTCCTGCGAGTGCATCACCAGTGAAAGAACGCTGAGCAACTTCACTCACTCAGCCCTGACCGAGTGCCTGCTGTACGCCCAACTGCTCTACAGCTGGAGCTGCAGCAGTAGGGGGCAGATGGCAGGCCAGGCAGTGGCAGAAATAGGTGGTCTGGGGGCAGTGACAGCTGCGGGACAGGGGCGGGGTGCATCTCCAAACAGAGTGGCAGCAAGCCTCCCTGGGAGGCCACGGTTGGCTAGAGACCTGGCCTTAGATTCCTGGATTCCTCTGGGATGAGTGTATCCAGGGCACAGGAAGGCGTGGGGAGGGGAGAAGAGGGGAAGGATAGGGAAGGTAGGGGAGGACAGGAGATGGGGTAAGAGAAGGGGGTAAGGGAAGGGAGGGGCAGGGGGGCACAGCACAGGGGCAGCTCTGAGGCCAGTGGGCCTGTGGTCAGGAGGTGGAATTGACAAGACCAAAGCATGACCTGTGAGGTCCCTGGGGGCGCAGGTTCCCTAGAGGAGGGCCTTGTGTGTGAACACTGACACCCCAAGATGGACCCCGGGGGGCACGGAGAGGGATCAGCACCTGGGGTCCAAGCTCGACAGGAGGGTGGGGAAAATTTGAGGGGCCCTGGGGCTGGGGAAGGAAGACCTGCCCCTCCTCTGCTTGGGCTCCGAGAAGGAGGGAAAGGAGCTCAGGGGAGGGGGTCAGACTCTGGGGGTTCTGTGTGATGAGTGTGGGTCCCCAGGGCACAGGGGTGGGGTCTTGGGAGACAGGTAGAGGGATGCAAAAGGTGGGTGGGGTGTGCAGCTCAGTGGGTACATCGGTGTGCAGGTGTGTAGGTGGGGGTGTGTGGGGGGGTATAGATGTGTAGGTGGGGGGTACATCGGCACGCAGGTGTGTAGGTGTGTAGGTGGGGGTGTATGTGGGGGGTGTAGATGTGTAGGTGGGGTACATTGGCATGCAGGTGTGTAGGTGTGCAGGTGGTGGTATGTATGGTGTGTGTAGGTGTGTAGGTGTGTGTGGGGTGTGTGTGTAGGTGTGTAGGTGGGGTGTATGTGGGGGGTACATCGGCATGCAGGTGTGTAGGTGTGTGTGTGGGGAGTGTGTGTGTAGGTGTGTAGGTGGGGGTGTGTTGTGTGTGTGCAGGCATGTAGGTGGGGGTGTATGTGGGGGGTGTAGATGTGTAGGTGGGGGGTACATCGGCATGCAGGTGTGTAGGTGTGTAGGTGTGTGTGTGGTGTGTGTGTGTGTAGGCGTGTAGGTGGGGGTGTGCAGGTGTGAGGGTGTGGAGGGTGTGGGTGTGGGCGGGGGTAAGTGGGCAGCTGTGGATGCCCACCAGCCAGAACAGGCTCCCCCGAGCGCCCCTCCAGGGGTGGGGATGCCGGGCCCCCTGGGAACCAGCTGCCACTGCGGGTCCTGAACCAGAGAGCTGAGATCCTGCCTCGCCTGCCGGGCCCCACACTCACTCCCTAGGAGATGGGCGCTTAGCCCAGTGAGGGGAGGGGGGAGGGAGAGCCACAGAGAGGCCAACGTGGGACTAGGGAGCCCCACCTGCCAGCTTGGAGCCCACTCACCAGGTGACCTCCAGCAGCGCCGGGCCCCCAGACCTGGTCTCCCACCTGTGAGATGAGGTCCCTGCTCCCCAGCCCCAGAGGTCTTCCCAGCTCTACCCCAGCCCTGGGATCCTGAGCCCCTCAGAAAGGCAGGGGCGGTGCTCCGGGGGCCTCCAAGGCCACAAACGGGGGGCCGCTTGTCCGACCCAGGGCAGGGCCATGCCGACTAGTTGGGTGGGGGGTCTGTGCAAAGCCCAGGTGTGTGGAGGCCTACAGTGCAGCCCATGCCCACGAGGCCGAGTGCCTCACACGTGAGGGGAAGTTCTCCCTCCTTGGTGCTCACTGGGTCCCATCTGGGTCCAGAGGCTACCCCGGGACACCCCCTGTGAGGACAGACCCCGACTAATGGGGACTCCGAGGAGGGGCTCTCAGGATGGGGACGATTGGACAAATTTGGCCCGCAGGAGTTGTTAAGGGGATACAGGTGACCACCATTAAAGAGAACTGTGGTAGATGTTTGTGATGGCCTCCACTCCCCTCCCAGGTCCCAGGCCCGTCAACCGTGGCATCCCGGCAAGGAGGGCACCGTTCCTTTCCCATCACCACGTGGGGCTGGGTGGGGACCTGGGCCCTCTGACTTCCTGAGTCGGGGCAGAGAATGGAGGGCGTGGCTGTACAGCTCTGCCTTCAGACCTGTGAGGCTGTCCCAGCACAAAGGAGGCATTGGGGGTGACAAGTGGAAGAGGGTCCCCCACCCCAGGAGGGTAACAAGCCAAGGGCTGGCTGTGGACTGGGGTCCCTGGCATGTCCCAGGATTCGAGGGCTCCAGGACCTTGTTGGGTCTGAGCCACCACATGCTGACTCCCTCCTGGGGTCACAACAGACCCTGACCCCCAGGGCCTTGAGTTCGTGCACCAGCAAACACAGACCTAGTCTTGGAAACCAGCATGGGAAGGGCCCTGCGCAGGAGCCACGGAACCAGAGGTGGGCTTACCCAGGTTGTCTGTCACCTGGTACGCGTCCCGCAAGTCCTTCATGCGGAAGCCAATGACGTCCACAAAGTCCTCCACCAGCCTGAATAGTTCCTTGGCGTTGGGGCCCATCTGGGGTGGGGGTGAGGGGGGGGGGGCAGGGAGCCTCAGAGACGGTGGGGAGCAGCCCGCAGAGACTGCCTGCCACCTGCGCACTGCACTGGGTGTCCTCGAAGGCCCCTGCGCCCCCGCCGCCTTCCCGTCCTCTGCCTCCCCCTCCCCCGCGTCCCCCACTGCCGCCTTCCCTCGCTGGCCCTACCAAGGTCTCACGGCTCATTCCCCAGCATCCCAAGACTCTGGACCCAAACCTGAAAGCAAGCTTGGACCGCAAGTGTCTATCTGCGTTTTGTGGAGCTGAACACTGAGCCCGGAGGGGCTGTTGTGCTCCAGCCCTGAGGGCAGCCATCCAGGCTGGGAGGAGAGCAGGGTGTCTGGGCACCCGCAGCCCCCACACTGGTACTGTCCTGGGAACAGGCTGGTGGCCGTTTCCAGGCCAGTCTGAGCAGAAAGGGACACTGACTGCTCTTTCCAGGCGAGAAAGAAACACCAGGCTCAGTGACCTCAACATGGCCCACATGGCAGACACGTGCCCTCATGCACACTGAGCCCCACGGGGTGAGCTACCGTCTCTGACACTGGGGGGACCAAAGCTCAGAAGATAAGCAACCACCTCAGAGTCACATGACTGGCAGGGGCCATGCTGGGATGTGGCCTCAGGGCTCCACCCAGGCTAGCCTGGGACCTAGGGAGGCACCAGAGATCCCTGTGTGCCCATCAGCTAGACTGGTGTCCATACCAGCTGGGCCTCCTCCCACTTGTCCCGGTTCTCCTCAGCCAGCAGGTTGCTGATGATCTGGACAAAGTTCTGGAAAGAAGGAGGGCCAGTGAGCAGAGAATAAGGCACCAGGGTCAGGGTCAGAGTGTGACCAGGGTCAGGGCTCAGGGTGCAACCAGGGTCAGGGCTCAGGGTGTGACCAGGGTCAGGGTCAGAGTGTGACCAGGGTCAGGGCTCAGGGTGTGACAAGTCAGGGTCAGAGTGTGACCAGGGTCAGGGCTTATGGTGCGACCAGGGTCAGGGCTCAGGGTGTGACCAGGGTGAGGGCTCAGTCTGAAGTCTTTCGGGGCCCAGCCTCAGCCGGGCCTGTGCTCTGTGTAAGGCTGGGTTCAGGACCCCTCCCTATCCGTCTTCCCAGGTGTCCTGGTTGTGCTCCTGGGAGCTCACCTGCACGTCCCCGGGGGTGGGGCTGTAGTACGCTCTCCGGAAGATCTCGGTCATGTTCCTCAGGACATCGATGGTGGAGAGAAGGTCCCCACTGTAGCTGGTCCCATCCTGGGAGATCTCCACCAGTGTCTGGATGACCTCGGAGACCCCCTCCCCAGGCAGCCCACGCTGAGCCTTCGCCAGGTGCTCCCGGGTCTGGGGGAGATGGAGGGGGTTATGTGCCATGACTCTGCAGGACATGTCATGGCAGGTACCAGGGACCTCCCACACCTAGAGGGTCCTCTGCAGCCCCCAGCCAGTGGCCATTGCTGACTAGTGCCCCCAGGGCATGCCGCTGTGGACAGAGGGTGGAAGAGTGCCCTGGAGTGATGAGCGGGCCGAGAGACTCCAGGGTGTGCCCTCACCATCATCTGGATGTTTCGGTAGTCGATGGAGATGCAGCGGATGTAGGTGGGGGGCTCCCAGTAGGCGATGCCTTCCTCATCCAGCTCACAGCGTCGCAGGATGAGGCCTGGCAGGACAGCGGATCAACTCTGCCTCCTTCTCCTCAGCTGGACCCCACACCAGTGCAGGAAGCCCACCCACGGTTCCCAGGCAGGAGCCCCCCGAGAAGTGACCCTCGGGCCCCCAGAAGCAGGGCCTTGCCCCAGGCCTCACGCTGGGAGCAGGGCCTACACAGGGCGGGACTCCCTTGTCTCTCTTTCAATACATTTCAGAGCGGCTGCTGCAAGTCAGGAGCTGCAGTAAGGTGCCCAGGACCCAGCAGGGGCCACACCTTCAGAGACCCACCTGCATGGAGGCAGAGGCCTCGGCCAAGTGAGGGACTTCAGAGTTCACCCCAGGGCCTCTCCTGTAGCCCCTCCCAGCCCAGAGCCCCAGGAACAGCCAGCAGCCTAGGCCCCCTGCCCAGCTCCACCCACAGGGGGGTGGGAAGGCCCCGGAGTGCTGGGGACGCTGAGGGGGCCTTTTGGCATCAGGCATTAACAGCTTTAAGTACGGGCAAACCTAGGACCCAGAATGCAGTCCCAGGAAATCGTCAGGCTGGCGGGCATGGTGTGTGCCCACCACTGTGAGAGTTGCAGACAACCGTCACAACACCACGGCCCAAGAGCCATGTGGCGGGTGGGGTCACAAGCCCCCCGGTAGGTGCAGATCAAAATGAAGGGAAATAAGGGCACAGGTGCCGACCATGCACACCACTGGGTGACCCGTATCTTCTTTGTTTTGCTTCTCTGGGTTTCCAATATACTACCAAGAACATGTATTGTGTCTAAGAAAATTGGGGGAATACACAGTCCCACCGCCATCCCCACCCTACAAGACCACCCCACCAACTCCTTACCACAGCCCTCGCCAGGGCCCCACAGTGCCCTAGTTTTACAGAGAGAAAACAGAGGCTCAGAGAGGCTAAGTCAGTTCCTGAATGTCACACAGCAAACAAGGGCACACAAGCTGCCAGCATTCCTTCAAATAAGAGGGGCAAACAAGACCAGCCTTGGCACAGCCAGGTCCCTTCCCCCGAGCCCACTTGGGTCCCCCCACCATTTACTCCCCAGAGGTGCACAGTATTAGGACCACTGGCAGCAAGGCCTCCTTCCCAAGTGCTGGTCCTGCAAGCCCAGGGCAAGTGTGTTAACTTCTTTGTGCCTCAGTTTCCCACCTGTAAATGGGTGACCTCACTGCACATCACACGAAATGGGCTTTGGGCAGGTGCTGGCTCTTGGTAAGCACTCAGGATGCGGTGGCTGCTGGCTGTGCCCCCCCCAACCCCACCACTACTGGGCTGCCTAGGCGCCGTGCACCACATGCCCTGTGCTGACAGCTCCTTGGGCCAGGTGTCTTGGTGCCTGACAAACATCTCTGTGAGGATGGGACGGGAACCCTCACACCGCCTGCCCTGCCGACCCCCACCTGTGGCGTTGCGGGGACATCGGACTGCAGCCACCTCTCCAGCTGGAGTCTCCTTCCAGATCACGGCACCAAAGCTGTCCTCATCACAGATCTCATGGGGTTCTGCCGAGGGGTCAGGGACAGCGCGGGTGAGAGGGGCAGGGCATGGCAAGGAGGGCTGAGAGCGGGCAGCAGGCTCAGGGAGGCGAAGGCCCCTCCAGGACACCTGCCGTCATTCCCCAGCAAAGTGAAGCCCCGGGCCCCCCCAGCTCCTCACTCACCGGGACATCGCTGGGCGCTGCACTGCCGGTACTCATCCTGTGGGCCCTGGCACGCTGCTCCCCCGAAGAAGGGCCCTGAGCAGACACGCTCCCGCCGCTGTGTGCCGCCCCCACACGTGGCACTGCAGGCACCCCACGACACCCAGGCCTGCCACTTCCCATCCACTGTGCGGCATGGCCAGGTGCAGAGGCACAGGGACGAGGATGAGGAGGGTGAGGTCAGGAGCCACAGGGATGCAGAGACACAGGGATCCAGGGATGTAGAGCAGGAAGCCAGGAGGAGAAAATAAATTGAGGCCAGGGGAAGAAAAACAACGGCTCAGCTGGATGCAGAACAAAATGCCTGCTGGGCACTGGTCCCCCAGGCCCGGGGGCCACATGCCCCGCCCACAGCGAGCCTGCAGGGGCCCCATCCCTCCCTGCTGGTGCTCAGCAGGCCCCCTCCCCAGCCCCGATGAGGCCTCACCTGGGCACTGCTGCAGGAAGCAGTCTCGAGTCTCTACCCAGTGGCCCTGGCACTCGGCGCCCCCGTACGAAGGCCCATTGCACTCACGCGTGCGCTGCTGCCGGCCCTGGGCACAGCTGGCGGAGCACGCGCTCCAGCTGGACCACTCATTCCAGTTTCCATCCACTGCCCGGCCCAGGGGGAAAAAGGGGACAGGAAGCCGGCGTGAACACCCAGGGCCTCATGCCCAGCCTGGTTCACCGGTGTGAATGCCCCCAGGGGGCCCACCACCCCACGGTACCAGTGAGAACACTCCGGGGTCTCCAACCTACAGGCTGATTACAGTCTGAGGCTCCAACCTCTAAGCACCCTAGCAGGGGGACTCCTGCATCTGGCCAACGCCCCCACCCCTTCACCCCGCCCTTCCTCGCACAAACCCCCTCCCCCACGCCCTCCCTCTCCCCTACCAGGGCACAGGGCGATATTGCAGAACTTGGTTTGCTTCTCAGGACCCTCACAGGGGTTGCCTCCAAACTGGGGAGGCCTGCAGGTGCGCGTGCGGTCCCGGAAGCCACGGCCGCAGGTGCTGGAGCAGAGGCTCCAGGGAGACCACTCATCCCAGGCACCGTGCACTGCGGGGAACCAGAGGGCACTGGTAGGCCCTGCGACCTTTGCCGGGCTGGCCGCCAGTGCCACCCTGCCCCCGCTGGCCGCCCCGCCCTGCCCACCTGGACACACGGCCGAGGTGTTGCACAGCCGCTGCTCGCGCAGGGGCCCGCTGCACTGCGTGCTGTAGGAGGAGGACACGCAGAAGCGCGTGCGGGTCTGCCAGCCCTCACCGCAGGTGCTGGAGCACACGCTCCACGGCGACCACTCCTCGGCGGCGGGGTCGCCTGCAGGCCCAGACCCACAGAATCACAAGCCCGCCGCTGCCTCCGCGCCCGGGGCTGCCACCTGACCCTCAGAAGGGCTGCCCCAGGGGCCGCTGGACGGCAGACCCAAGGGATCTGAACCAGGGCTGATGCCAAGAACTTGCCATTTCCCCTGCCAAGCTGGGGGCCCCCTGGGCGGCCTTCTGTCCCTCTGGGTCCCTGGGGTCTGGCCTCACACCAGTCCCTAAGGCCAGCCTGCCTGGAGACAAGCTCCTGGAACCTGAGAGGTTAATCTGATTGTGGTAAATTATCAGTTATCACCTAGAATTAGCACCAGTGCATGTATTTGCCCAAAGGCCTGGTCCCCTGAAACCAACCTTCCCCACTTCACAGTTGTTTAGTTGGAGCCCTCGTCAGCCCACCGCCCCATGCGGGTCACCTGTCTGCGGCGCTGGGAACCCGAACTGCTGCAGCTCATCCCCCAGCTCGTCGCGCCGCCGGGCATCCGTGGACCGCAGGGACTGGCTCCTGGAGTTGGGGCGCCCGGCCGCTGCAGGGCAGGCTCAGGTCAGCACCCAGGCTGCCACCTGGAGCACCTGCCCTAGAACTTGAGGGCTGTGCTCTCCACCCAGTGTCTCTCAGTCCCCTGCCAGGGGGCAGGCATGCCAGCACCAGGGCATCCCAGCCTGCTGTCAAGCTGCATCTAGTGACAATGAGACCCCTTCCTGTGGTCCCCTCGCCCCTGCTCTGCGTCCCTTCCTGCTCTTCCGCCAGCAGCCACCGCTGTCCACCTGCAGGACTTCAGGTCTGAGGGGCTGCTGGCCTCCTCTCTCAGCATCCCATCAGCACCCCGTCTCCCAGGGCCTGGCTTCCAAGACACCCCAGGAACTCTTCTTCCCAGGAAATGTTCATCAGGGGAAAAAAAACCCTGAAGAATGACAGTCTCATTGTAACTTGATTTAACTTTATGGAAGCCTCTAAAATATGCATAAGGTCATTAGAGCCTTATTAGAGAAATACATCCTGGAGGCAGGGTGCAGCTGGGGCAGTCAGGTCTGGCCAGGGCTCCCCGGGAGGGGAGGAGGGGACACCCCTGCAGTCAGCCTTCTATGTGCACCCCAAATTCCCAGTCCCACAGATGACAAAAAAGCCCCATGCAGTTCCACCTAACCACCTAATTAGAGGTCCCTCCTGGTCCTAGGCCCGTATCTCCACCGGCGGCCCTGCAAACCAGGCCTGGCCCTTGGCTAGGCTCCTCCTCTAAGGCCCCGCCCCACCATAGGCCCCGCCCCTCAGAGCCCGGGGGTCCGCCCTCCCTCTCTTCCAGGCCAAGGCCTACCTGACCTGGCATCGTCGTAAGGCCCTCTCGCTGGGCCTCTCCCGCAACCGGCAGCCTTCCCTCTGCCTGGACCCACCCAGGCCCGGCCCTCCGCCTTCCCCCAAGCGGTGGCGCACTCACGGCTGCAGGCCTTGCGGTTGCACAGGCGACCCTCCTCCAGTACCCCCTCGCAGCCGCCTCCTTCGATGCCAGGGGCGGGCAGGCAGGTGCGGGTCCTCGTCTGCAGGCCACCCCCGCAGTCCCGCGTGCACTCGCCCCACAAGGACCACAGCTTCCAGCCGCCTGGTGGGAACCAGAGGGCGGGGGCTCAGCGCTGGGGTGTCTGGGAGTGACCTATGGGGGTCTCCAGGGCTGGGACCTCAGGCACCAAGGCTCCCTGACAGACCTGCAAATGGGAAGGCCGGGGGTGGGAGAGGGGCACAGCAGGAGGAGGTTCAGCCAGGAGGCCAAGTTCGGGCCCAGGGGCTAAGTCATGGGCACGGAGGTAGAGGCCGGCACAGGCTGGGAGGCACACTGGTGCAGGGAAGGGGTCTGCCCAGGGACAGCCGTGGGGGCCTGGAGCCCTCCCTGATTCCCCGGGGTCCCTCTGGGGTGCCAGGGTCTGTACTGGCTTTGAATCCAGTTGGGCTTTGGGTGCAGAGCTGGTGGTGGTGGTGTTGGAGGGGGGTGTGTTTGAAGAATGAATGCATGAATGAAAGACCACCCCCATCGATGACTGCCTTATAAGGTCCTGGTGATGGGGCTGAGGGCAGAGGGGCCCTTCTGTAGGGCTCTCATTCCTGGGCCCAGATCCTCAAGCTCTGCAGGACACCTTCCTATGGCCCCAGTCCAGTCTCCCTGAGCCTCAGATTCTCACACCCCTCTCCAGCCATGATCTGTGGCTCTTCACCCCAACCCACACAGGGGCATGAGGGGGCCAAGGTCCTACACCAGGTACCACACCAGGCCAAGTCTCTCCCAGACCCAGCCGAGCTGGCCACCAGCTGCTGAAGGAGCATGGGGACAGAGGCCTCCACCCAGGCCTCCATGCCCCTTCTGCACCCTCTGCTGTGACCCCAGCCACCCCCTTTCAGCTCTCTCTAGCATCTCCTCCATCCTGGCCTTAACAAGCCAGACCTCGTGGCCCCTGTGCCACTAAGAACACTGAGCAGGAAAGCCTCAAAGTACTGGGGAGCCATTGAGGAGTGAGCAGCACAGAGGCCACTCATCCTGGGCCCGAGCAAGGGGGGGGGCACTCATGGGCTGAGGAAGGGGCTGCTCCACCCAGGCCTCCCCTCCAGAGGCCATGGTGCAGGACCCTGGCCACCACCATCCTGTTCAGGCTGTCTGAGCCCCCACATTCCCAGTGAAGCAGTGCACTTTTGGGTGTGGACTCTAAAAGGGGGAGCAGCCTTACCAAGCACCCACTATGAGCCTGGCACCCCACATGCAGCACCCTGACGTTGTACCACCTACCAGGCAGCCAGCAGCTAGCAGTTGGCTTTTCTAGGCCAGCACTGGGACCTGCACCAGAGCTGGGACACTGTCCCACACCGCCTGCTTACTGCTCCAGGCTGCAGCAGGGGAATGGGGCTGACCCAAAGCAGGTCACGCCTGGCCCAAGTGAAAGGTCCCCATGCCTCTTGGACCTTGGTTTATGGGTGGCTTGGGGGACTGGACCCCATCTCTTGGGGACAGCAGGAGATCCCAGCAGGTGGGCCCAAGAACAGGGGTGGGGTGGGGCGGGGGGCACTGGAGCTGAAAGACCAGGTTCACGTGGTGGTCCCACTGCCCACTGGCTGTGGGAAGGTCAAGTCCATCCCACCCTGACCTCACACCCCTCATCTGTGGATAAATGGGAGCTACTTTCCCGAACCAATGGCATGAGGGTAAATGTCAAGAAAGGGCTTGGGAAGGTTGGGTGTGGGCGTTCACCCCAGGGAACCCACTTTAATTTGGAGCAAATCCAGTGTCCAGGTGAGTGGAGTCAGGCACATTCCTGTTTCTCCATGGCTACTAGGAGCCTGTGCTGGGAACGACCAGCAGGGGGCACCAGGGGCAAACAAACGGGAGGCTGGGAGGGCACCCGCCTTCCCCAGGGCCGCCTCCTGGCAGGCACACAGCCTGGAAGGAGAGCCTTCCACGCCCCAAATCTATTGCCAAGGCCTCGCCTCTCCCTTTCCTCACAGTGCCCGCCTGCCATGGGTCCTACCTCCCCTGGACCAAGCTTCCTGTCCTCTACCTGAACCCTTGCTGGTAAGACAGCAAGTAGATGGCTATGGGCTGGCAAGTGAATGCCCCCAGATAGCAGGGGACAAGGGAGGGTTTGCTTGGACCGCAGTTGCTGCCCTTCGTGGGAGGGCATGAACCCTGCTATGCCCCAGGTTCCCAGAGGTGCTGCGAGGCCTGGGGAGGACCTGGGAGGGCCACGCAGTAGGGAGGGCTGGCAGGGCCATGCAGGGGCACTTTGCATGGATCCTTGGGCTGGGGTCGTGGGCGCCTGGTCTGAGCCCCTTCCTGGGTCTGGAGGCGATGCCCTCACTGGTCACTGAGTTCCCTCCAGGGAGGCCTTTCCACCCCCATTATTCAAATGAGTAGCCTGGGGCCTGCAGGGGTGAAGGGAGGCTGTGCTGGCATTGTGCCAGGGTGTCTGGCCCGGCCCACCTCCTCTATGAGAGGCTGCTCCCTTGACTGTGGCTCCCAGGGGCCGACCTGGGCAGGGATGTCTTGGCCCCAGCCCATCCCTGGCGGCCCTGCTCTGTGCCTGAACCTCAGCACAGGAGCCCCGAGTGCCTGCCACCTCAGGAGGCCGCAGTGTAACCTGTTTACAGTGAAGCAAGCTGAAGCTGAGACAGGGGTGGTCTGGCAGCCAAGGACTGCGGTGAGGCCACTCCAGGAGCTCTGCCCCAGGTCCAGCGCTGAGGAGGTGGGCGGAGCCAGGGTCTCCAGTGCTGAGTGAGGACTGAGTTTGGAGGCTACTGCATAAAACCAACTTATCTTAGACTGCGATATCCTGGGAGGGCCCTAAACAGGTGGGGCGGGGCATGAGTGAAGACAGGCAGATGGGCCCTGGGGGAGCAGTGGGGACTCCCCAGCACAGCCTCCACTGCATGTGGGAGGGCAGGGGAGCAGCTCTGAAGGGAGGACACCAAGACTGCCCAGATGTGTGGCCTCCATCGCTGCCCCTTCATATGCCCTCACTCGGGCCACCTGGGCAGCCTCATAACCACTCCATTGGGCAGATCCAAGCTAGAGGCAGGCTGACAAGGAGAGGAACATAGAGGAGCTGGCACTCAGCCCACCATCAGACTCCCAAAGCTTTTCTGTGCGCCCCTCAAGTCCACCAGCCAGGTCCCACTGCAGGGCCGCACCCCAGAGCTGCAGGCCTCAGCCATCTGACATGCAAAGCCACACTATCCCGTAATGCCAAATAAAGGGACAGAGGGGCCTGGGGTCCAGGGAGATAGGCTGGTGGTGCGGTCAGGGCACATACACCCTGCCTGTCTGCACTCCCTGCCCCCACCCAGCCCCCGCGTGGAAGCCTGAGTGACGTGGCAAGTAGCAGCGGGTGGGGGAGAGGGTGTCCGAGGAGGCTGACTGGAGGATGCCACCCGGTTCCCATGGAAACTGCTGCAGCGCTCAGTCTTCCAGGATAGACTCAGGTTGGGCCTCAGCTGCCAAAACACCCACTATTTCGGGGCTGGTTACCTTGGTGACCCAGGTGGTGGGGATGTGGTGGGGAAGGGGAAAGGGGGAGGGGGAGGGGCCCATGCGAGGCTGGGGAGGACACCGGGGGGGATGGACCAGGTCCCCAGGCCCAGCCCGACCCTGGCCACACACTGAACCTCATGACAGACTGCCTTCTGATCCTGGGCACAGGAGCCCTGATCCCTCGTCACACGTGGAGCCCTAATCCCAGCCACATACTGATCCCAAGCCTTGCCGTGCTCCTGCCACTAATGAGCATTCAGGAAATGGAAGCTGCTATTTTTGTTGTCATTTTTATTTTTAACGTGTGTCCCCACACATAGCTGACACTTGTAAATGCCTGTTGAAGGAACTCATCCATGACAGGGAATCCCCGGAAAGCACTGCTGGGCCTTTCGGGACTCAGCGAAGGGGTGCTCAGGCACCCTTTGCTGGGTGGGCTTCGAGGGGGCAGCGAAGTGGGCAAGGCGGTGGTGGGGGGGTGGCTGCCCCTCCAGGCCCGGAAAGAAGCCGCCATTCTTCCCCCACTCAATGACTCCTCTGTCTGGAGGCCTCATTTCCATCTCATTAGTGGATGAATGGAGCCAATTAATGGCCTCAGCGGCCTGGCCACCCAGGAGAGGACTCCCGGCCTCCTTCCCACCATGGTGCCCCAGCCTGGAGGCTGTGGCCTTCCGGGCCCCCACACCCCAACTAGGCTGAGATGGGGCACCCTGGGAGACCCTCCCTTGCCAGGCTTTCCCTGCCTCCCTGCTTCCGAGGACCCCTTTGGAGGAGGGAGCTGTGCACTTACCATCTCCTCCAGCAGAGGTCTCCCCAGCCCAGCAGGTCCATCCCCACCCCTGCCCAAGGTGGGGTTCCACAGGGACCCACTGCACTGAGCTCCTGTGACAACCCCTGACCCCCACCAAGTTATGCCCTGTCCTGAGGCACCAGGCTCCTCTGAGTGCCTGCATGCTTGTGCAAATGGGGACCACAGGGGACAGGATCCCTGAAGCCCCTCCCAATCCAACCTCTGTCCAAAAACCCCTGCGGCCCAGCCCGCAGGTCCTGATACTTGGGCTGCTCCTCCGGGGCCCACAGTTCCCGCTATCAGCCCGCCTAGCTTCAGCAGGTGCCACCAGATAGAGCTGAGAGCCCTCCTTCACAGAGGAGGGGGACAAGGAGTGCCCCCACCTCTCGCAGGCGTGTGACAGGCACCATCTCCCTTAGCCTCGCTCAGACCCTGCGGGCCAGTCTGTCCGGCCCTGTTTCCCAGAAGGGACGCAGGCTCCCTGAGCTGGCCAACCCGGCCCAGCCTCGGGGTGATAGGTTTTCTCTGGCTCCGTGTCTTGGTCAGGTAGCTGCTTCCTGTCCTAGGAAGGGTGGCCTATTACAAGCCTGAAGGCCTGGTGTGTGACCACACCCGGTCTCCTCATCTTTCTGGGAAGCGGAACCCCAGCAGGGCCATAACGCTCAGCCTCCCTGGAAGCCTTGGGGCTCCTAGGGGTGTGTGTCACAGCATGGGGCACCCCAGCTGAGTGGTGACAGGCTGGAGACAGCAGTGGGGACTCCACCTCTCTGCAAGGCTGTGTGGCCTTGGGCCAGTGGCAGCCCTTGGCCCAGTATCAGCCTCTCACACGCCTCCTGACCCACACTACCAGGATGTCACTCACCCGTACACTCAGGTTCCAGAACAGTCCAGGGCAGAGGTGGGGGGGGTACACCACGCCCCCCACCAACAGGGACATACACAGACATAGAGACAGGCACATGTGCATGTAGGAACCACGTGTGCACGCACACGCTCCCAGCCCCTAGGATGCTGCTTTTTCATTGCCGTGCATGTCGCTTCTGCAATAAAATTCCTTAATTAAAACATGAATATTTAAAACAACCCTTGGGAGAAATGGCCCATCTCACCAGTCATGGAAAAATGCAGAAACAGACTATGGGAGGGCGGTGGACAGCACCAAAGGACCAGAGCAGGAGTGGGCCGGGCTGCCACAGAGGGGCTGTGGGGAAGAGGGAGCAGGTGCTTTGGCCTGAGGACTGCTTGCCAAGTTGGATGCGTGATGTGGCCATGTGGCCTTTGGACAGGCCAGGTTGGAGGCAGGGTTAAAAATGGGCCATGGGCTTGCCTGGGCTGCCAGCTTGCTCCCAGCTCAGCCCCATGAGGCCTTCTTAGGGCAGAGATGGAGGGATGTACCTGTTCCACACTCCCCTGGCCAGCATGAGGGGACAAAGCTTCCTGGGTACAGGACTCAACAGCAAGATCTGGGTTCTGGTACCCACACAGCTCAGCTGTGTGTCTTCTGAATGGTTGATGGGCCTCTCTGGCCCATGTGGACCCGCCCCCACACACACGTGCAAGCACTTGCACAGCCCTCCCAGCAGAGCTCATTGCAAGAGAAGCCGAGGTAGGACCCCTAGGTGGCCAAGAGCTGGCTCAGCTGTCTGCCTACCCATTACAAGCTGTGTGACCCTGGCCACTGCCTTAACATCTCTGTGCCTCATTCCATTCAACAAGCATTTATCAAGTGCCAGCCACTTGCCAGGTGCCGTTCCATGTGCAGGGGCTGCACTGGTTAAGGGGACAAACATGCCTGTCCTGTGGTAACTCCATCCTAGCAAGGTCAGAGGACAGGGAATGGACCAATAAACACGGGGACTTGTCCAGGGTGTTCACGGGCGGCACACCCCATGGGAAGGGAAAGCGAGGCAGGGTGGCTGAGGCAGGCCTCGCCGACAAGGCGACAGGTGAGCAGGGACTGGAGACAGGAGCCCCATGGGGAGGAGCGTTTCGGGGCAGAGGCAGCAGCCCCAGCAAAGGGCTCCCTCCGGGTCTCCTGTGCTGCTGGGAAAACCTGTTCCAACGTGGATGCTTCTGTCACAGACGAAACCCTCAGAACACCGCTGCTCCTGCTACTGCTCAGGCCATTTCGATTCCCACAGTCCCAGAAGCACCGGGGCCCTCTGGGTCCAGGGTGCAGGCGCTGGGGTCTGAGCTGCCTCTGGGCCTGACAACAGGCTTGCCCAGTGCCGACAGGCTCCCTCCTCCCTGTGGCCTGCAGTTCCAGCCCGACTGCCCTCCACGTGGTCTCCCCACAAGACCGCCAGCGCCCCAGCCTCTACACTGAGCCTTGTCAAAATCACTGAAATTGGCCCTGCAGCCCCCAGTCTCAAAGCACACTCATGCACGAACATGTGTACATACTGTGAGTGCACACATGCACATGCTCACTCACAGTGCACAATGTACTGCACACATCCATGTACACGTGTGCATACCAGTCATGCACATATGCCTGCACAATGCGCATACTGACAATGCATGTGTGAACACACATGCACACACTTATACTCATGGATACATGAACACATACTCGCACACATGCATGTGGTGCATGAACACAAGTACATGTACACCCTCATCCCCACCCTTTTCTGACCACCTGTTTCAGACATTCCCTTTCTCAGAATCTCAGCGCAAGCCCCGCCCTGCCCTCATCTCCAGATACCCCTTCCTCCTCCAGTCTCTTTGCCCCCAAGCCCGTTGGTTTCCCTACTAGTAATAAACAGAAGAACTGGTATTTTGTCACTAACATCACTTCTGCTGAGACACACTTTCACACAGCCTCCTTCCTCACGAAATAAGGAAAGAAGATATTTTTACTCTTTCCATTTTAAAGATGAGGGGTCTGAGGGGAGGACAGGGCTGATGGGACTGGCCCAGGGGCCCACTGAGTGCCAGTCAGGCTGGAACTCGAACCTATCCTGGTCCTGCCCTGGTGCTCCGGGCCCAGAGCCCCTTCTCACAGGAGAGTCCCACTGATGGTGGGTGACCCATGGGCATCTTACACTCAAGTCCCACTGTGACCCCTGGGTCTTTCTCCCCACTGCATCCCCACCTCAGCTGATGATCTCATTCCTAGCCAGGAATCCTGGGGGTAGTCCCGCCACCTCCTTTGTCCCTGCCCAACCCAAGTCAGCAAGCCCAGCAGCCCCACCCCACACCCTCGTCCCTCCCCACTGCCGCGGCCAGGCCGGGGCAGCTCCCTCCCAGACGCCTTGCGCCTCCGCCCTGTCCCCAGCTTCTCCTGCACGTGTCACTCAAGCCCTCCAGTGGCCCCCTGCTCTCAAGATGACACACAACTTCTGGCTGGAGGCCTGCCGCCATCCCGCCCCAGCTCCCTGCAGGGCCTGCACACAGTAGGTGCTCAGGAACAGAGTGAAGCTCTGGCTCCCTCCATGACACATGTTGTCACCACTCACCCCCCATATGTCATGCCGGCCCCATCCTCTTGACCTTCTCCTCCCTGTAGTGTCTGCACCTCCTGAGCATCCTGGGCACTTCCCCCATATGGTCGCTGCCCACAACGCTAACAGAGACCAGGGCTGTAAGCTGGGTGCCTGGGCCTGGCCCTGGGGCCTTCATATCCAGGGTGACAGATAGTCCTGCAAAGCAGGCAGCACTTTCCAGACAGAGAAGCTGAGGCTTGGGAGAAGTGACTGCCAGGAGGGGCAGAGCAGAGGGATGGACAGGCCTCTGCCCTGCCCTGGCCTCCCTGTCCCCACCGACCAGCCACCACCCCGCTTCTCTGCCTTTACTGCCCCCTCCCCCAGGACCACTCCCGCCCTGAGGACCACTCTAAAACTCTGTGGACACCGCCCAAGCCAAGGCCACAGCGACCTTTGTCTTGCTCAACCTGAAGTTCAGCCCTGCCAGCCTCCTGCCCCACTGCCATGCCCTCACGTCCCCTCATTTTGGTGGGGCATTTTCTGCTGGCTTCCTGGATACCCCACCAGCCCCTGCCTCCTGCTCAGGCCCCTTCTCTCCCCTGCTCCTCTCCAGCTGCGTTCACTGCTTCAGGGGGTTGCTCGTCTGCCATCTACAGCCAAGGGACCATGAGTGGAACCGTGCCCGTCGTTACTGACTCTTGCTGCACCTGCGCACAGCTTATCTTGTGCCTTTAAAGGTGTTTTTCTGAGGAGTCCATGGGCCTCACTGGCTCAGGAGAGGCTAAGGGTCCTGCACAATGTCACCTGGCCCCACAGTGACCCACCCAGCATGGAACACCTGGCCTGGCCCGGCCCCAGATGCCCAGCACACATGTTCAGCTGCCTGTCTGGGGCCTCAATCTCAACAGTCTGAGAAGAGCTGTCCCCTCCTGCCCTCCCTGTCCTAGTCACAGCCTCCAGATGCTCCCAGGAAACCCCGGGCATCCTGCAAGGGGGTCTCCATCTTCAAGCGTGTACAGGGCTGACCTCTTGCCCCAGTGCCCCCTGAGCCCCAGGCAGTGTCCCATCGGGCCGACTGGGTACCTTCTCACCAAAGAAAACCCAAACTGTCCCAGAGGCAGACACCCTGGTGGACTCAGACACACTGCCCAGCACCAGGTCCAGCCTCTGCCCTGCCCTTTCCTCAGCCTGCAGGACTGTTTCCAGCCTCTCCAGTCTCACCTGCACCTCTCCCAGAATCCTGAGCACAACCCCCAGTCCGGGAACCCTGGCCTCTGGAAATGGCAGCCCTGCCCCACTGGGGACTCCGTCCCTGCATTGTTCCTGAGATGCTCTCCTCTCGTCAGACTTCTCTGCTTCAAGTGTTTGGCGGTTTGGCCCCCTCCTCCCCCCAACAGAAGGCAGACCCACAAGAGCGGGGTGTTCTTGCTGTTTCTCACTGTGTGTCCCTGGTGCCTAGAACACCTCACAGGGGCTCAGGAACTAGCTGCTGGATAAATGGATTGTATCGCCATCCCACATGCAGTCCCCAGATTCCCTCTCCTGACCACATCTCCTAACATCCCGCTGCTCACTGTTTCTCCATGCAGCCCATGGCCCTGGAGGCGCTGGCAGACCTCAGCCACAGGCCACGGCAGCCTGCTGGTCCATTAGAATCGTCCTGCCTGCAAAAACAGGAGGACCCTGCCCCAGACAGGAGCTGAGAACTCTCTCATCCTGGGAAAACTCAGAGCCATCCTTCACTCCTTCCGTGAACACGCAGCAAGCAGCACTCACCTGTCGGGCGCCAAGCAGGCCCTGGGGCCCTGAGCCGCACCCGGCCATTGCCTGCGGCACCAGCCATACACTTATCACCGTGCACCTGGCGTCCCTGATGGAGTACTCAGCCCTGAAGAAAAGACCCTCTCCCACCTGGCCTCTGCCCAGAGAGCTGCCCCCAGGCTGCCCTTCATCGGTCACTCACGTGGCGCACCATCCCCTCCTCGGTCCTGAGTCAGGCTGGTGAGGCAGTTCTCAGGACCACCAGCTACACCATCCCTCAGGCAGACATCCCCTCGGGGGACCAGCGAGCCACTGGCAGGATGGCCGGTGTCACCACCCAGGCAGGCACAGGGGGTCTGCATAATGCCGCAGGGGTGCGAGCTCCGGCTGCCAGCCAGACAGGCATCCAGCCAGCGGCAGAGCATCTGGCAGGCAGCGCGGCTGGGGCTGCGGTTGCCCACGACCAGGTACTCCACTGAGAAGTCATCGCTGGGGCCTGGGGGCCCCCGAGGGGGCCTAGGGTCGTCATCCTGGGGAGGCTGCAGGCGCTGCATCTGCAGGAATTGCTTGCCAGCCTGCAGGAAGGCAAGGGGCGCTGAGGGGTCGCACAGCTGTAGCACCTCGTCAAAACTCTCCATGCCTAGGTAGGTGCGCGTGGACTCCAGGAAGGAGTCGAACTGGTAGGTGCGGATGCGGCTGGAGCTGCTGCAAGGCGCGGGTGCCTTGGCAACCTTCATGTAGAGCGTGTAGCGCCGCGGGTCTGGGTTGCGCAGGGTCCAGGAGCAGCGTGAGGCGTCGGCAGGAAACACAGCAGCCGCAGAGAAGTACCCAAAGAGCTTGCCCTGCACCAGAGTGGCACACGGCTCGGCCCCCCAGGCCGCACACAGCCGGTGCCCCAGCAGCAGCAGCAGGGGGCCAAGGATCCAGGGCGGGCCTGGGGCAGCGGCCTGGCCCCTCATCCTAGCTCGCGCGGCCACCGGGGTTCTGCGGGCTGGGCAGGCAGGCACAGGCCAGGCCTTGACATGCCAGGGTCTGGCAGTGAGCGGGGCCAGGCGGGCCGGGGCTCCAAGTGAGGGCAGGTGGAGAACTCTTCTGGCCACCTAGCGGGTAGCAGGGGCCCTAATATCCAGGCCTGATGGCTGCCTGGGGTTGCCAGCAGCAGCTGGAATAGAAAGAGCAGAGAGGGGACAGTGTGACCTCAGAGACCTGCAGGGACCAAGACTCGGGCACATGGGGGCAGTGCCACACTGCACAGCCCAGGCTTTGCCTGGCTGACACATGCCCTGGCTCTCCTCCCAGGCGCCTGTTCTGTCCACCTGTCTGTCTGCCACCCAATGTGTCCACCTTCAGGGGCTGGGGCCCAGCCAGTGGGATGAGAGACCCCTTCCACCCAGGCCTGAGCAGGGAGCAGTGGGCAGTGCTGGGCCAGGGCCACAGGGCTCTGGCTGTGCCCATCTGCCTGGGCAGCTGGCAGTGGCTCCTATGGGCTCTGGGCCTGCCTGCCTGCTCACCCTGTTGTGGCCATTTGCCCACTTGGGCCTCTGTGGCTCTCTGGCCCTCCGGTGAGAGCCTGGCACTCTCTCCTAGCCATCTCCCTGCCCCGTCTTCTTCCTCTCTGACCTTCACCTGTCCCCAGCCCAGTCTTTCAGGGAAGAATGTGCAAACTTCACAGGAGGCTGGAACAGGAAGGCCATTGCAGCCACTCCCCAGCTTCCCAGCAGTCCTGCCCCTCTGAGCCTCGCCCCGGGATGGGGGTGCAGAGACCCCCCCTCCCCACAGTGCCTCTTCACTTCTCCTGGCTGTGGCTGTGACATCTGGTGCCGCAGCCTCTCAGACTTCCCCCTCCGGCCTCCCTCCCTGTTGGGGGCCTGCAGCTCCAGGGGGGAGGCTCGGGGATGCAGCCGCCAGGAGCTGCCAATTCCAGGCTTGGGCCTGAGCTGACCCTTGCCTCACACCTCTTTCTTGAGGCTGGCACTGTGCCCCCCCCCCCACTTAATGGTGAAGAAACTGAGGCTCAGAGAGGGTTAGTGACTTACCCACCATCACTGTGAGGGGTGGGGGAACCCACACATGAACCCTGCAGACTGACCCCAATCTTGTGTCTCAGGGGTCACCTCCCCACTCCAGGAGAGGGTGTTGGCTGTGTGCTGCCCACTCACACCTGGACAGGGGACACAGTCCTACCACATGAGGGCAGGGACTGGGCAAGGCCATCCTGGGCTCAGGAAGCCAGAGGTGCCCATCCTGGACTGGCCTCCAAGCCTCAGTTTCCCCACCATCCCTGAGGACCCTGGAGGGGCTGTCCATCCCACACAGCAGCCGAGCTGAGGGACGAGATAGGGGGAGCCACAGACAGCCCCCAACCCACCTGGCCGGCACTCTCCTAACCATGCACACACCGGCCACCTGCCCACGGGGATTCGCTGCTTCCTGTTGCCCAGGCCCAGCTGGCCTGTGACACAAGGTCAGCCGTGGCTCTGCAGTCCCCTCCTGGCATCCTTACTGCTGGGCCTTGCAGGCAGAGCAGAGAGCTGGGCGCAGGTGGCTTTCGACTCTGAGCCAACCTGAGCCAGATGGCTGGACTTGCACTGCCCCCTCATGGCCATGTGGCTTCAGCTGGTCCCAGCATCCCAGCCTCAGTCTCCCCATCTGTAAAATGGGGGTGGAGCCTCACTCTCAACAAGCAGGTAAGGTGGGACCTGGGGGTTTACCCAGAGATGGGGCAGGCAGTGACCCCAGCAGGATGAGGAGGTGGGGTGGGGGCCCTGGGTCACCAGGGGTAGCTGTGGACAAACCCAGCCCTCTGGGGCTCTTTAGTGGCAAAAGTTCAGGACCCCTGAGAAGGTAACTTGCAAACTTCTTGTCCTGGTGGCTGTAGGCTGGGCCCTGCCTTCGGCTCCTACCTCTGGGAAGCCCCTTGTCCTTCTCCACCTCTAGATTACTCAGCGGCCGGCACTGGATGTGTGCACAGCAGAGGCCGCCTGCCCTGGCCACACAATGCAGAGGCCCCATAGCCACTCCCAGACCTCGGGGGCAGCCCAGCCTCCCCCAGGAGGGGGCAGTGTGTTCCAAAATCTCACCTGAGCCCCACCTCTGCCTGCTGCGCCCCTCCGCCAGTCCCACGCAGGGACCTGATGCAAACCCCAGGCTCGCAGCTGGAGCCCCAGCCCCAGAACAGGCTCCCCAGTGCCCCCGGGAATCCCAGGGCCTTAGCCCTCGTCTCAGGGGCATGTCGGCAAAGCCCCGTGGAAACTGATCATAGGTCTGCATCCACGGACCCCCACGCCCCCTTGACCCCACACACATCAGCCAGCTCACCGTGCTCCATCCTGGACCCTGAGTCGAGGTCCCCCAAAACCCCCTAGAGGGGCCTGCATGTGACAGCCCAGGAGAGGGCCCACACCCCCCACCGCTCCCTGCTGCCCCTACTCTCCCTCGGCAGCTGGCTCCTGGCCGCCCACCCATAGCCTTCCCAAAGAGGGGGAGAGTTGTGGGGGCCTGGAGGGGCCGGGAGCAGGCTCAGGAGCCAGATGCACAAGCACCAGACGCTGGGGGACCGCAACAGGCTCAGGCCTCTTGGGCCTCCATCATCCCACCTGGAAAATGGGTACAGCCTGAAACAGACACCCAGCTGCGAGGTGCTGTGCAGTAGGGGCTGCTGAGAGCTCTGTCTCTGCCTCCACGTGGCCATGAAGACTCCGCGGGCCTGGAGGGGGACCTTTCTGTGGGGCCCACCCGAGCCAGGCCCTCTGTCTCCGCAGCAGCAATCTAGGGCACCTGCTGTGGCTCTGTGCATTGGAGTGCACAGAGGGGCCACACCTGGGAGAGGGCTCACAGGGGCTGGGTGCCTGAGCCAGGATTCGAGCCCAGGTCTGCCAGAACCAGGCCTGATCCTGCCCTGTCCCGGGGCCCGTGCTCCTGGCATCCGTGCCTGCGGGCCATCGATGTCAGCAGCTAACTCCACGCCTTGAGCACCTGCCAGGGGCATGAGGCCCACCTTCAGCGTCCCACACAGTGGGCAACAGGTGGTGGTACAGGTCAGAGGCAGGACAGTGCACCAATCAGAACTGCCCTTTGAAAGGCCGGCTTGGGGGCTGGCCTGGGGAAGGGTCGGGCATGGTAGAACCCGAGTTTGGTGGGAAAGGGGGCAAGGGCAGGGTGCTCAGGAGACAGAGGGGAGAGGCCCCAGCAGTCAGCTGGGCTGTGGGGTGCACAGGGGACATTCCTGGCCTGGACACTAAAGAATGGGACATGCCAGCTGGGAGGCTGGATAGAAGGCAGGTCAGAGCAGAGCCCAGAGCCCTTTCAGGCAGCTGTACCCCTGGGTACCCAGGCTCTGCAGTGAGCCTTCAACAGACTCCTGGGGTCTGAAGACAGCCTGGAGGTGCCCACCTTTGGGACTCTCAAACAGGGTTCCTTGAAGCCCTGGGGTTCCATGTGGGGACCACAAGGGCCATTAGAGAGCGAGGGAGTGTGGGAAACATCAGGGTTGTGGATAAAATGAAGGTTCCTGTGGCCAGGATTCTCACCTGGCCCTGGTCGGCTAGCTCACTGCACACGTGTGGGCAGCACGATGCTATTGACTCTGTATAAAGAGCTCCGCCCAGTGCTCTGGGCTGCAGGGCTGCAGGAGAGCAGAGGCTGGAGTGGTGGCAGCGCTGAGGACAGAGACGAGACGGCGGCAGGTAGAGAGGCCCAGAGGCAGAGAGCGGCTTGCTGCACGCAGACTCACTCTGAGTGGACGAGATTCCAATGATTGACCAGTCACCGTGGGAATAAAGTTGGGTATAACCCTTTCACCCCAAGAACATTCCACTGTTATTTCTTTGGTCACATTGACTCTATACTGAACTTGCCCGGGGCTGAAACCCACTGGCAAGACAAGGATGCAGGCCACTTCCTGGCACCCGGCTCCCTCTAGAGCATCTCTGCCCTGAACAGCTCATGCCCTGGGCTCTGGGGAGGCTCTGCTGGCCAGGAGGCTTTCCAGCTCTGAGTCTGAGCCCCTCAGGAGCGGTCTGGCCCTGCCTCTTCTGCTGGGTCACGGGGCAGGACTGGGCAGGAGGCCCAAGGCTGTCAGGTGGCAGTTCCTGCCCCTCCCAAGGGTCACTCACCCTCCACCTGCCCATGCCTCACCCTCCATCCTACCTCCAGGTGACCCGCAAATCCTTCATAGCCAGCGGAGCTCCCCTTCATCCCATTAACCACCTGCCTGATACCCTCCAGCAGGGCCCCTCCTGTCCTTGACATGCCAAGGCAGGCCCACACGGGCAGAACTGGGCGGGCCAGGGGCACACTGGCCCCAGGCCCCAGGCCGCACAGGGTGGGGAGGAGTCCATCCCCGGCCAGGGCAGTTGGTGCTGAGACAGGGTGGGGGCGTGCAGGGGCGCCCTGACCCCACCTGGCACCTGGGGTGGAATTCTTGAGGAGCAATGCCTGGAAGGTCCCAGGATGAGTTTGGGCAGGGCTTGAACTGATCTATTCGGGGGTCCCTCTGACTGCTGGCAGTTGGTGCAGGCAGGGAGAGACGGGAGGAGGCATGTGTGATGTCAGGAGTGTGGTCGGCTGGGAGCAAGGTCACAGAGATGACCTTAAGATTGGGCAAGTGGGCTAAGGGGGGCCTCACTGAGGTAGGAGAAGTGGATGTGTGTGCATGTGCGTACATGCATGTGTGCATGGGCATGTGTCTGTAGGCTTGCTTGAGGGGACCACTCAGGGAGAGCCCAATGGTCAAGCCACCTCAGGAGTCCAAGGCAGGGCCTCAGAGGAGGGTGGGCCCAGTGTAAGGCGGGACCCACACCAGGTGGAGTCAGCCGCCCCTGGAGCATCTGCACTGTGGCGCCCTGGGGCTGGCCCACGCCCCTTCCTGGCCATACCCAGCCCCTCCAGTCCCCACCCCTCCCCATCACCTCCTCAGGGCTAGGCTGGTCTCGCTGCCAGGAAGTTCTTCCTGCTGGAGAACCCCATCCCTTCAGCCAGCCTCTGCCCCATCCCTGCCACAAGGCTTCCCGGAGCCGGCAGGAAGGCCTCTAGGTAAGGGGTGGGCCAGCACTGAAGATGTCTAGTGGGGTGACAGGATGGAGGCCACCAGAGATGGCAGGCAGGTGACAGCAGAGGTGTGGGAACTAGAGAGCTGGCTGTGCCAGGCGGGGACAAGTTGCT